GCCATAGCGCCATAGCGCCTTAGTTCCTTAGCGGCAGGCAACCCCCATAACCATCCCAATAGTGCACTCTGCACTAATAAAAAATCAGAAACTCAATTCTTTTTATATCAAGATCCCCGATTGTTTACCAAATCCTGATTCTTATATCCACAGTAGACTGCTGGAAAAGCATACCCTTGACAGCACCGTATACTGAAGCCCATTTACGTCAGTTCCCCTCCAGGGTTTGCCGAGTTGTGTATTTTAAGGCGTATTGTTTAACTTTTGTTATTGTTTTTTTTTTTTTCTAAATTCTTGTTAGGAAAAACCAAATATTGTAGAGAAATCAGTAAGGAATATTTTGATGTTCATGATCCTAACCTTGCTGATTTTCATTCTCCTCTTCTGAGGAGGTCTTCATATCTTCATCATCACTGTCAGACTCGCTGGCATCATCACACGAGTGAATTCCATGTCCTGGGAGTGAAAGATTTGAACACTTGTCTTTAACAAAATTGCTTATATAAACATCTAGACTTCAAGTAACTGTACTTTTCCCTAGATTCTCGAGCAAGATCAAGAAGCCAAAAAAAAGTGTAACGACGTTCCAATCATTTCTCATAGGGAGAAATAACAGACAGTGGTCACAATCAATAACATCCGATTTGCGGTGGCATAATTTAGGTTTCCGTAGTGTGAAGCGAGTCAGAGCTCTACAACCACCTCTCAAAGAGATCCTAGTCAATCAACTCCCTCTGCTTCCCCACACAGCGGCCAGGGTTTGAACCTGGACTTCTCGTTCCGGAGTCCAATCTATTAAAAAAGCTAAGTCACGGTAGTTTGAATAATTTTGGCCCCGAGCAAAATTACCTTTAAGGTGGCTCAAAACATTTTACAGCAGTTGGATTTTGATGGGTCGTTATAACCACTCTTTATCACTTGATGCTACAATCGTGGTATCAAAAAACTGCCCAGTCATTGGTGAACATGTTGCTATCATTTTCGTGACACAGTAGGCTACCATAGCAACAGTATGACCTGCTAAAAACACCCTTAATTCTAGCTTTAGGGCCTATAATTCAAAAACTGCACGGTGAAATATTTTTATGTTATCAAATTTTGATAACTGGCACGATTGGACGAAACTTTTGGCAAAGCTTAAAAAATGCTGTACATAGGGTTCAAAGCCACCTTAAATTTTCAAAACTTTAAGCAATATTTCTCATTTAAGTACAGAACATCGACCTGGAAATATTTAATCAGAGATACCCTTGCTCCTCTTCTAATAAACAACCCTCCTCCTCTGTCTCTTTCACGTAACCTCAAATTAAACACGGTGCCTTGGTGGTAGCTTTACAGCTGCCTTAGATATGCAATCATGATTGTCTTATTGGCTTGTATGTGGTGTAAGAATGTGCCTCACCTAACAGGCTTCCCACTGAGTCCATAAACGACTCGGCATCAAACTGAACCTCTTCATCTTCACAATCCCTAAAAAATACACCCAATAATATATATGGCAGGCGCTCATGTCACGCTCGAACGGGAGGGTGACATGAGCGTGACATGAGCACATGTCACGTTTTCGAACTAAGAGTATCTCTACTCCCCCGAATGAGACGCTAGTCCTTCAAACAATTCGCCGCTATCCATTCATATTTCTGGGGTGGAGAGAGGCACTGTGAGAGTAAAGTGCCTTGCCTAAGAACACAACACAATGTCCCCGGTCAGGGATTGAACCCAGACCACGCGAACCAAAGTCCAGCGCACTAACCATGAGGCACCGCGTGACCAGTGCATGTCACCTAATGATTTTCTTCAAAGTGGGAGATTTCCTAAATTGGCGACAAATATTTGTGTTTGGTTGCAGCAGTTTTGAAAGAGCTACACAAGCACCTTTATTTGAGCGCTGCGAAATCAATGACCTACTAAACATTGTTGAAGGAGAGGAAGGCAACAGGTATTAAAGAAAATGATAAAACAAACCCTTTACCCTGGGAATTCTGCTCCCTCGTAACTGGAAACTTTGTCCACGAATGATTTCAAACTGCGTGTCACCGAATCCAGGTCTACCGAGGTTTCCTGATCAAAAAGAAAGACGTCAATTCGAGAACACGAAATGACAGACACTTTAAAGCAACATTCTTTAGTTAGAAGTACACTCGGGGTTCGACATTAGCACTCGCCCGCTCGCCCAGGCGAGTGTCTAAAGTGTCGGGCGAGCAACCTTGGGCTAATATGGCTTCCTATTAGTGATAATTACATAACGCATGAACTGGTCTCTTGACTTGAACAAAGTGATACTGCTGGTCACTATCGAGCCATCGGCGATCAGGTAAAAAATGGCGCCCAAGGAACCGCGCCTGAGAAGAACAGATACGTCTACTCGCAAACCGCAGGGATCTCGCGAAGATTTATCAATAACAAAACTATTTGAAAGATAAAGAACCTCAATTGTGTTTTCTTGGGGTTTAAGGTTTCATCGAAGTAATAATCCTTAGTCTGCCACGTGCTCGACGACTTTGCGAGCGAATTGTTTTCCCGTACTTTCCCAGCACTCTGATCGATGCGTGTTCTCCCGTAAACTGATCGTAACCAAAATGTGGAAGTATATTTCCGGAGTCTCTAAAGTTGTCGATGAGAAAAAGAACGAAAAAGACCCAAAAGCTGCCCGTGATACGAGGGAGTACGAGGAAGAGGGTGAACTTTTGGGCGAGTGAAAACTGGTCCGGGCGAGTGTATTACGAGGGTCACTCGTCCGGGCGAGTGTATTACGAGGCTCACTCGCCCGAATGGCGAGTGCTGTCAAAATTAAGTGTCCGACCCTTTACACTACAACGTGAACAACTTGATTCATTGTAAAAAGTACTGCTCAAGAGGCCACTTTCGATGGATTAAAATTCAGCTTGATAGTGAAGCCTACAGGACACAAACAAAAGAAATCAATAAACATGGTCATTCAGGTTCCTTTGTTTTGTCCTCTAAGCCTAGCTGCCAAGCTGAATTTTGATATATCGAAAGTGGTCTATTCGAGACTTAAATATTCTCTTTCTTCCCGCAGGATTTGATATTTTGAATTTTTGGTTGGTCCCATCCGCAGGGCTACAGTGGTAGTCAAATGCCCCTACCCCCAGGATATCCATGACAAAAATGAGTAATGGAGAGTAATGGACTCTGGTAAGGGAAAATAAAAAGGAAATCACCCTCAAACACGCGTTTTCAACAGGTATTGGTTCTATATTATTAAAATATAAAAGTGATTAGAGTCTCACTAGCAAAATTTTATATTCAAACGTCATACAAAGCTGTTGAGGATCTGTCTTTACGAACCACAACGTTATAAAGGATGGTGTGGTCTCTTGATGTTTCCTAACTTCAACAACTTTTTCAAATTTCACGTAACCCCTCCACACAGTGTCAAACTCCCCCCCCCCCCCC